GCCTGCTGTGTTCATCCAGCTCTACACAAAGTCAACAATATCCTTGGTTTTGAGCAAGTGGGAATGGGAAGGAGTGCAGAAGAAGAAAGGGAAGGCCTTTGACAGGGCAAAGGGCAGGAGAGATCAACTGACAAAAGTTTCCACGGTGCAAAAGTCCACGGGGATGGTAATGGGTAAAATGAAGAAACTAAAATCTCTCTGGATGAAGTGTGAATGATTGGATGGAAGTTGGCCATTTGCAAATAAGGAAGGAGTTGGGACGAAACGGAAACTTTTCTTGAATGTCATTGCGATCGATTTATTTGAAGGCGCTTTATTGTATTTCATTCATCTTATCCAAGTAGGTTTTGATTATTGTTCTGTGATATTTGAATCTGCCCAATCAGGTATTGATACTGAGTGGAAAAGGACTCAGTGCATGCCCAGGGAGGTGTCCTTGGATGTGGGGAAAGAATTTGGGTCAGCAACAAACATCATCTTTAAACCGTCCTGCGTGTCTGTCTACAGATGTGGCGGTTGCTGCAACAGCGAGGGAATAACATGCATGAACACCAGCACTTCTTATGTCAGCAAGACAGTAAGTACTCATTGCTTTTGTTGCTCACTTTACAAACTTACTGCAGATAATGTTATCTGCCTCTGTGTGGCATTGGCCAGCTACTGTAAGAACTTGAGAAAATAAAGCAGCTATACTGCCCTTTGAGTCTCCTCCATCATTTCACACGATCCTGGCTGATTCTTTGTCTCAACTCCACTATCACTCTAATATCCCTCGATTATTTTATGGCAGCAGTAACATAATGCATTTTGCAGGAGCATGCTTAGCTCTAGTTTGTGGAGCCTGTCCATGATTCCACATGAGACGAAAAAGAATCTTGCATTTAAATAGCAGATTTCATGACTAATGGACACCTCGAAGCATTTTAATCAGTAAAATAACCTTGAAGTGTAATAGAGAAATTATGTTGCTTACATTTTTTTTAGGCCATCATGAGAGGCATAGATAAGGTAGATAGCCAACAGCTTTACCCAATGGTAGGGGAGTCTAAAACTAGAGGGCATAGGTTTAGGGTGAGAGGGGAGAGATACAAAAGGGTCCGGAGTTGGGGGGGCAGAATTTTTCACACACAGGGATCTGAGTGTCTGGAATGGGCTGCCAGAAGTAGTGGTGGCAGTGTGTACAATTTTGTCATTTAAGATACATTTAGACAAGTACATGGATGGGATAGGTATGGAGAGGTATGGACCAAACGCAGGCAAATGGGACTAGTTTAATTGTGAAAACTGGGAGGCATGGGCAAGTGGAGCTGAAGGGCCTGTTTCCATGCTATAGACTTCTGTGACTTTATAACAAGCAACATTGAGACCTAATGGCCAGTTATGTGTTTTTGTGATGCTGACTGGAGGTTAAATACTCTCCCTGAATAGTGAGTTAAACCTAGTCTAAATAGTGTCTTAGGATCCTTGACATCCACTAAGGCAGACTGATAGGGCCTCGGTTTAACATATCATCTAAAGGACAGCGCATCCAAGAATGTTATCATTGCTTTGGTAAAGCAGCAGAATGTCAGGCAATATTTAATGCTCATGTCCCTGGAGTGGCACTGGAACCTATCTCTCTGACTCAGAATTAACAGTGCAGCCACAAAGCCATGGTGGCACTGCCAGAAAGCTCAATCTACCTTCTTATATTTGGGCAGAGAATTTCACCACAAATAACAAGAGAAAGCTAATAGTTCTCTACCACCCCACCCTCTCAGACAATTAGCTTCAGTCTGATAAGGTCAGTAAAGTATTTTTGAGAAGCATCAGGACGAACAAAGTACCACACCATCATTACTTTCCAGAAATTGCTGGCTGCATGCATTCAGGTCTTGGTTTCCTTAGTAATATAATTAATGAAGAATTTTTGGAGGTGTTGAAATTGTAACTCTCCATTGGGGATTTCCATCAGTGAACCTCTTGCCTGCTGCTACATAATTCAACAAAACTGAACAAATATTTTGTCTTTTATTACTTTTTTTTTGGATGTCTGAACGTTCCTTTGTCTCAGCTGGAATCGAATAGTGAAATGAAAGATTGAAAGCCCACAGTTGTATCAATGAAATGGTCTTGCAGTTCCCTTTGTTGGAAACCCCAGACCCAGAAATTGAATGGAGTACAAATCGAGGAGCTGTCTGGATGCAGTCACTGTTTATCACTCCTGAGGAGGCCAGTGGCAGGAGTACAGGGATTTGAACTGCCAACCATATTTGGGAAATGACCAGTGACTGTGAGGCTGGATTTGGTGAGAATTCTAACCATTCCAGGAATGGGGTAGGCCACAGAGTGATGAGCTTGAGCAGAGAGAATAGCAGTCAGAAACAGCAGGCAAATCTGAGAAAGGCTATCAGAGAAGCATTGGAACAATGGTGGGATCAACACAGGTGAGCAGAGCCGATATAGTTTTAATACTGAAAGCGTGCACAACTTACGATCGACATGTCCTTGTATTTTATCATCTGCCTGTACTGCTCGCAAAACAAAACTTTACACTGTACTCAGCTACATGTGACAATAATAAATCAAACCAAATCATATTAAGTCTTAGACTTAGACTCCCTACAGTGTGGAAACAGGCCCTTCGGCCCAACAAGTCCACACCGACTCTCACAGCATCCCATCCAGACCCATCCCCCTATAACCCACCTAACCTACACATCCCTGAACACTATGGGCAATTTAGCATGGCCAATCCACCTAGCCTGCACATCTTTGGACTCCTTCAGTAGCCACTTCTCTGCCAAAGAGGTGTAGTTATTCTAGGGATGACTCACATTAATCTCACATGTTTACCTCAGAATGAAGCTCTGGTATACCCAGTACATTAATTCCCAATTATTGTTGGTTTATACTGTATTTTTTCCCCTCTGAGTCATTCTTTATTTTCCCTAGCGGTGACTGCACTGAGATAAATAGGTAAATGGACAGAAACAGTGGTACTCCTAGGAAAAGGTGATTGAATATGCATAATAACTTGGGGGAAGGAAGCGAATGTTCTGTCGTCGAATTTGCAGATGACACAAAATTAAAAATAAATTGCGAGAGGGAAACAAACATTTTACAGAGAGATATTGATGAGTTGAGTAAGTGAGCAAAGGTTGGCAGATGGGTATAATATGGGAAAATATAAAGTTCATTTTGGAATGGAGAACAAAAGAATAGAATATTATTTAAATGGAGAGAAACTGCAGAAAGCTGCAACACAAGGGGACTTTGGGGTCATTGTGCATAAAACACAGAAAGCTAGCGCACAGGCTCAGCAGGTAATCCGGAACGCTAATGGAATGTTGGCCCTTATTTCAAGGGGGTTGGAATATAAGAGAAAAGAAATCTTACTACAACTGTACAAGGTGCTGGTGAGACCATATCTGAAATAATGTAAGCAGTTTAGTTCCCTTTATTTAAGAAATATATCATTTTATTGAAGACAATTCAGAGAACATTCACAAGAATGATCCCTGGTATGGAGGGATTGTCTTATGATTGTCTAAAGTCTTATGATATTTGGAAGAATGAAAGGTGATTTCATTCTTATGAGGCTTGACGGGGTAAATGCTGACAGGATGTTTTCCCTCATGGGAGAGTCTAGGACTAAAGGGCATCGTCTCAGAATAAGGGATGCCAGTATAAAGCTGAGATGAGGAGAAATTTCTTCTCTCAGAGGACTCTGAGCCTTTGAAATTCCTTGCCACAGCGAGCTGTGAGGGAAGAATCCTTATGTACGTTTAAGGCTGAGATGGATAGATTCTTGCTCAGTAGGGGATGACGGAAAGGGCAGGATAGTGGACGTGAGGAATGTCAGATCAGCCATGATCCTATCCTGGCAGAGTAGCTGTGAGGGCTGAATGGCTTTCTCCTGTTCCTATTTCTTATGGCTTTATAGAATGTTCATTTTCTATTAGATTGGTGTTTAAAAGGTATGCATCAAAACATTATCAAATTGTTGCCGTTTTTTTAAAAAAAAGTGCTACTACAGGAAGCAGCTAACATGTGGAAATGGTTCAGGAGAATCTAAATAATTGTGTGAACGAAAAGGAAACAGAACTTTGTGATAGATTTAGGTAAGGAAAGTTTAGAGGAGGTTCAAATGGAATATAAACGCCGGTTTCGACGAGTTTGGCCAAAAGTCCTGTTTCTGCAATGTGTATCCGATGTAGTTTTATATCAAGCATTTTGTTTTCATTTTTCTCTCCTTTTGTATGTAACAACATGGATTACATCAGTTCAAGAATGCAGCCCACCAGCATATCCTCAAGGGCAACTTGGGATGGACAATAAATAACCAGCAAACAACACAAGCATCCCATAAACAATTTTTTTTTAGAATGATGTCAGAAAAACTTAGCATTGTATGTTTTGCCTTCTGCAAGCTGCATTCTTTTTAAAGTGACTGTGTAGGTTGAATGCAGTGTGACCTCTTGAAAAGTGGCAGAATTCTGTCTTTACCTTTTAGGGAAGGCTGACAATTTTCTAGTTTCATAAGGTGACCATTTTATAATAGAAATAAGAAAGCTAGTGCCTTCACCAACTACAGCTGGCTTCAAACCAACCAAGACAAAAACAGCTCATTTTTAAAAAAATTGTTCTTGGGATGTAGGTGACGCTGACTGGGCCAGCATTTGTTGTTCATCCTTAGCTGCCTAGAAGCCATTTAGGAATTTTACTGTGTGTCTGCAGTCATATATAGGGTCAGATCAGGTAAGGTTAGCAGATTTCCTTCCCTAAAGACATTAGTGAACCAGATGTGTTATACCGTAATCAACAGTGGCTATGTGGTCAGCATTAAATTCCAGATTTGATTAAATTCAAAATTTCTCATTTGCCAAGGTTGGATGTTACCAGAACTTTAACCTGGGTTCTGGATTACTTGTCTAGATTGGGATCATGTCCACTCCCCTCCACCTCAGTAGCCAGCAGCATGTACCACTTACAAGATGCACTGCAGAAATTCACCAAGGCTCCTTAGATAGCACCTTCCAAACCCATGAACATTATCAATGAGAAGGACAAGGGCAGCAGATATATGGGAGTTCCCTCTCATTGGTCTGATTTGGAAACGTTGTCATTCTTTCAATGTGGCTGGGTCAAAATCTTCGAATTCCCTTCCAGATGCATTGTGGGTCTACCCAAACCAAAGGGACTGCAGTGGTACAAGAAACCAACTCACCACCACCACCTTCTCAAGGGATAGGCAATAAATTCTGGCCTTGCCAGCTATGCCCACATCCCATGAGTAATTTTTTTTTTAAATGAGCCCCATCAAAAAATGATGGCAACAAAAACATGGGTGAGGGGTTCAGTAAACTTGAGCAAAGATGGGCAAGAGTTGGACATTGAAGGAAGCTGAGGTATTAAATATTTTTGAGGTGAGTTTGCTTGGGACATCTCTCAATCCCCTACTAAGTAAGTGAAGAGGGAGATGGCAGCCAGATCCTGTTTATACTCCCGTGTTCTCTGTGCTTGTTTCAGATTTCTAGCATCTGCAGTATTTTGCTTTTACTTCTGTGTATCATCTTGGTTAAGCAAGTGATTGTG